CAGATGCTGAGCTATGCTGACAACCCTCTCTATTATGCTATTGTTGGCAGAGATCATTAACTAGCACTGCCGAGTCTCTTAACTTATGGCTAAAGAAAAAGGAGGGATTAAGCCATCTTTTAATTTTTTTTATCAGCTTCACCCTTTTTGGTATCGCTAATACCTCTGATAGTAACGTACAGGTTAATTTGAATAATTATAATAAAAGGATAATGGCAGTAATCTACTCTAGGAAGTCATCTTTTGTTAGCTCTTTCTGGAGTGTGTTTTCCTTCTTTATTGTATAAAACAATACAAATAAGAAAAGGCAGTGATTTCACATAAATCAAAAGATAAACTTAATTTCATATATGCATCTCATTGTTTCTATTCAGTGGACACAATGCCATTCAGCCTTTTGGGCTAAAATATGAAATAAAGATGATAAAAGGGCATTGCTCTGAATATTGAAGTTGTGCTAATCCTCTACCCAAATGAATAAGAAATGCAGATTCAGAATTGTCTAATGTGTCTACCTTTAACTTGCATCTGAAGGGTGACCCTGTTCAGTAAAAAAAATAAATCATCAGGGACAAATTCTGCCCTCAATTAACATGAGCTACTGTTATTGGCAAAATTGGTCCCTTAATCTGTTCATTCTTTCTTCTTGGGGTCTATTTAAGTTAAGGTAATGCTGGTGATATTAGACCCTATTTGGGCACAAAAGGTTAAGTATATGCTTTACTTTAATTCTTCTCCCACGTTCTATTGACTTAGGTGCTTTCCTGAATAGAGATACATTTCTTTATCATTGCCACAGCTTTTATCTAAGCACCTTCTGTCTTCCTCTTCCTTTTTTTTTTTTTTAAAGTTGCTTCTAGTCAACTATATCTGCTTTGATTAGAAAACCATTTTGATCTTCATATAGTGAGGAAATATTCCCTGGATTGCACATTAGGCCTGTGTGAAGTGGCAAATATTCGCTTCGGATTCGGCGGAACAGTGATTCGATTTGGAGAATCGAATCGCTGTCCCGATTCGATTGAGCCAAATTGGATCCGAAGATTCGGCGCCGCTTTGGAGATTCGTCCATAGACTAAATAGGCAGCTGTCCTCACCATGCTAGACACAGTGCCTCCAGCTGGTAAGTCTGTTGTGGTGGGCAGAGGGGGAAGGGAAGGGGCATGGGGGAAGGAGGGATTGGGGCTGGGGCTAGGACAAGCTGCTCAGCTAGGGTGGGGGGTGCAGGGCTTGGGGAGGGGGATTGGGAGGGCATGTGGGCGCAGCCCCCCCCCCGCCCCAGTTGGGCAGCTTCTCCCATCCCCAATCCCTCCCTTCCTCACACCCCTTCCCTCTCCTCTCTGCCTACCACAACAGACTTACCAGCTGGAGGCAGTTGTGTCCAGCATAGTGAGGACTGCTGCCTGTTTAGTGTATGGCCGAAACTCCAAAGTGACACTGAATCTTTTCTGAATCAATTCAGAGGCTTCTGATTCAATTCTGACCTTTTAATTACTCTCCAATTTGATTTGGATTTGGAGATTCGGCTGCCGAATCAGCCTGAATCTCCTCCGAATTGAATCGGTTACTGCAGCTTCGCACAGCCCTATTGCACATCTCTCCCTAATATCATTCCAAACTGTCCTTCTGTAGTGGCCTGTCTGTTCCCCTCCATTTCTTCCATTAATTCTTCCCATGAACCCTAAAATATAGCTTTTTTTCTCCAACCAGACTGCCCTGATTTCTAATAGCCACTAAGTCAAAAGGACACTTCTCTATTCATATTCTGCTTGAATTCTCTGTTCAACACAATCAATAATTAAATCCTCCTCTGCTTTTCTCCTTTCTTCTCTTTTTGCTTTCTTGGCTCTCTTCCTTACAGCAGTATGTCCTTCTTCTCATCTCCCCTTCTCTCCTTATTAGTACTTCTTACTGATCTGTACGGTCATGCCCTCTTCTTCCACTATTATTTTCCTTCTCGGTGATATCATCTTGTTCCAGTGCTTTCATTCACATCTATTCAGATGGTTCCCAAATGATCTTTTTTCTCCAAACTCTGCTTTCTTCTGAGTTCCCATCATACATACAGTTTCTCAAACAGGTGTTTTTCACCTTACACAGTAACCCAAACCCTTTCTAAGGACCAGGTATAAGTGAGGACATATTTTGTGTGTACAACAACTGCATGAGCATGTGTATATGCATATGTATGCATTTGTGTGCACATATATACAAACCCCATTTGAAAAACAATTTTAAATTCCATTTTTTGGTCCTTATTGTGAAAGAAAATGGTTCAACACTTTTTCTTATTCATTTGACTGCTTACTGCGCAGTACACTGAAATTTGAAAACATCTAGAGTATCTGAATGAAGCTATTTTTTCATTTTCTCATCAACTGTGTTGGGAGCTGCCACACTGCAAGCATTAATGCAGCATATTTAGACATTGCATCTGTTTTAATTTTAAAGCCGCCATTTTTGGCTTTCACACTGTTCTTTCATGGTCATAGAGTAATTAACAAAGAAGAAAAGTCCTGGTGCAGGCTGATCCTAAGCACCTTCAATTCTAGTTACAATTAATGGGAGCTGAGGATGCCCAACACTGTCTAGGTCATCAGTTTGCTGAATTAGCCCCAGTCATGCTGAGTACCTTCCACTGGTGTTGGTTTCACATATTGTTATGAAATGAGTTACTAATAAACAGTTTCAGAAAACATTTTTTGTTTGTTTTTTTTAAAGGTTGCCTTAATAAAACTGCTTTAAAATATAAGATGATACCTTGAAAAACTGAGGGTAGGGAGTGTCCTACCAATGCCTGTGTACACACATTCAAATGATCTGGGAAAATTTTCCTGGGTTTGTTTTTCTGGCAGAAAAACTTACCTGCAGATGCCTGGACATGTATTTGAATCCTGAGCCCCTGAAGAGCAGAGAGCTTGCAGGTGATGCTGTGCAGCCAGGATCCCCCAATGCACACATCTCAGCATGCTCTTCAGGCTCCCTCAGTCTGCCCAAAGACAGATAGCATCAGTGCACAGGGCAGCCCTGACTGGCTGACCCAGACTGCTTGAGCTTAGTTTGTATCTCCCAGCTGCACAATGTGGGGCTTGTGAAAGGGTCCAGGGGTGGGAAATTATTTCAGGCGGAGGGCCACTTACTGTGTTTTGGCAAGCAATCGAGGACCGCATGATAGGCAGCCAGGGGAAGATAAATATAAATTTTCTAAATTTTTTTAGGGGCCCCGCAGGCTGTATAGAATGGCCTGGCAGGCCGCATCCAGCCCACAGGCCTCATTTTGCCCACCCCTGGGTTATGCTCTGCTCGCTTCTTGGCTGGAGCAGCAGTCAAGCAAGTGACACACTTTGGGATGGGCAGGAGGAAAGCACTCTGCGATGCTGAAGAACTGTGCTGTGGCTTCTCTCAGAAGTGAATATATACAGTCAGTTAGGAGAAACTAACCCTGGTTGTTGTCAGAAACAGTCTCCCAGGAGAAACTGAATGTCTATATGCAGCACATGCAGTTTGCGGCACCATAGACAGTCTGCAGCACTGCAAACCGCACGTGTGCACTCATGGGGATGTGCCCAGGGAGGGCAGGGTCTGACTGTAGGAAGAGTGGGAAGGGGCTGTCAGAGGAAAAAGTTGGAGGGGGGAGGGGAGGGGATAGGCAGCAGAGAGCAAAGGGGCTACCTAACCCCCCAGATTTCTTTTCCTGCCTGTAGCAGTGGGAGGGGGGCAAATTCAAGACAAACCTCCAATAGTTAGAGGATTCTATATCTAGAAAATTATAACAAATTTATAAATTTTCTGTATATAAAATCTAATAATCAGGGTCTGATTTGAGGCTTTCTATTTGAATAAATATGGTAATAAAAACATATAAGTGATTTCATTTCTAGTGGGTCCCTGTCCCACAGCCTGTGTTCAGACAACACTGTCTGTATTTCAATCAAAATTGTACCTCAGTGAGCATTGGAGGATTAGGCTTACTGCTTTGTAGTTTAGCTGCAACTTTGACAAATGTTTTTTGCGTGGTAAAAGATAACTACCAGTTATTGCTCTGTATTGAAGTGTTCTAGCATGCTAAAGACATATGAAAGACTTGAATAACATTTTTTTTTTCAATTTAGTATTGGTGCATGTTTCTAAAAGGTGTAATTAAAGTTACTATGGGTAATATAACACTGACAGATAAAGCTTCCTGACACTTTTTTATTAAAACCATGTCTTTAGTTGCTGAGAATTTTGCTATACATTTATCACTAGACTGAAATTTTCCATTCTACATGTCTGCGTCAGGCTGACTTGTTTGAGGAAAGTTCGAGCTAAAACTATTTAGCTGTTTCATAAAATTAGGTTAACAAAAAATACATTGTTGTTGTCACATTCAAACAATATGTGTGTTTGTAATTGTTTTGTGGAGAAACCCTAGAATCTCCACCCTTTGGCGCGTGGTCTTGAAATTTGGTGAGGAAGGTCACTCTGAGCAGGACTGTGCCTTTTGCCATTCCAGTTAAAATGTGCATAATTTTTGGCCAAGTTATGAGCCTCCAAAAAAGTGTCTATTCATACATGCTTAGCAGAGACCTCTTGTAAGTCACTAGATATGTTCTTCAAAGATTACATTTGAATAAGGGTCCTCCATTCCTTCATTGCTCCTATATACAAGTGGGACTGTACATGCATCGCCCCCACAGAGTAAAATGAGCATGCTCCAGCGAAGGTCTGCAACCCTGAGCAGGCCTTCTTCTGCAATTGCACTGGCAACAGCAGCTGTGTTGCTGGGGAGAAGAATTTAAAATGGGGAGATGATGGGTAAATCTATGTCGAAGCAACAGTGTGCCCCAAACAAGACATTCCCAGTTAAGCTCTGTCCACTCTTGCCCAATCACACGTCCCAAACCAGGAAACATGCTTGTGGGGAGGCTTCTCTAGGATGTCTTTCTGTAGCCACACTATAGAGTCTTTAATGCATTAACTGAGAAGGGTTAAATATGACTTGTTTCCTCTTCTTTCAGCTGGTACACTGGCAGACTTGGTGGGGAAAGAAGCTGATTTGAATAGAGAAACTGGCTGGGGAGAAGGAGAGAAAAAAGAAATACAAGAAGGTAGGATCTCAGCCTAGGGTAATGGAAGTTGAATGCTGGGAGGGAAGAAAAGACGTGGGAATATAGTAGAGCAAGAGCAAGGTGAAGAAGGAGCCGTGGACAGAGAAAAGATGGGGGAAGATGAGAAGGATGCGGAAGAGGAGAGAGCAGAAAGGCATTTCAGAGTGGATACTGGCAGGGGTTGTAAAGAGGTTGATGGAGACATGAACAAAAAGTTTTGTAGCTGTTAAGGTACATTCCTCTATAAAACACCCTCTTTATCTGTTCCTTTGCTCCTGAGCATCACCATTTCTATCCTATTAGCAAATGCCTGTGAAAACTACCAGCAAATGATATGTCTCCATGAACCTCTAGTGGCAAGTCTACCTAGAAAATAACAGACTTCTGTTGCTATCACTTACTCCATTACCTTCTAGAGTCCTGTATAATTGTTCTTCCTTATTGATAACCCATAGAAGGTCAAAATACTTGCATGCAATTGCAGTAGTATTCTTTCAATGTTTACTTTTAAACAATTAGGAAAATGCATCCAAAAACCTATGCTAAGAAGAAAAACCTTTATGTTAAGAAAAAGTTGCAAAGTTAAGTCCTCAGAAGATAGGCATGCCAAATTTATGTTGACTTGTACAACCCTCTTGAGCCCCTTTCTATATATGCATTGTGATACTGCCTTAATTACAAAATCATAAATCATTTGATATAGTTGTGCATACATAGGTTTCACATCGACCCGGCAGATGTGATAATACAGCTCTTTATATCGCGTGAGGAGCATGTATAAGTCATAGATATAACTTATATACTAGCACATTTGAAAAGTCATCTTTTATATGTTCACCAGTACATAAAATGTTACCCATTTAAACTACTAAAGATATCTATTAAAAATATAAGTTTGAGCAGAATCATTAGAACTTAAAATGAGAAATAGTGGTAGATTACTGTACCACTGCTAAATTGACACAAGATAGCTTTAACCTCTTTTCATTCTTGAGGTGCACTCTAGAGCAGGGGTGCTCAACCCCTGGCCTGCAAGCCAGATCCAGCCTGCAGAGTCATGTGATCCTGCCCACAGGCTCCTCAAGGGTCCAGAAATTTGGCAGCAGGGCAGTGGTAGCAGTTAATATTTCCACCACTCCCCTATCACCAAATTTCTATGCTCTGTGGGCCAGGTGACATAGTTCTGCACATAGGATTCCACCAACATGCAAGGCCAAGACTGGGGCAGCGGGGTCTGAGTGCACGTGGGGCCAGCCGCGGTTTGGGGCTGTGGAACCCAATCCAACACACATGACCTGGGACAGTGGGACCCAGTCTGAGCCCCCATCTGACGCATGCCAGATCAAGCCCCAGGATTGAATCTGGCCTGTGGCCCCACCCCCACCCTTCCTCCAATACACAGGACCAAAAAGTTGGGCACCACTGCTCTAAAGGAGCCTATATTAATTTACATTTTATGCTATAAAATTAGAAATGTAACACTAAGTGCTGTTTAATTTGTATCATGTCGCCCAGGCTTAGTTGTCATAGAATTACATATGTAAATCATGCTATATTAGGGAGGCTTGGTTAGAAAGAGTTGCGGGGGTGGGGGGGTGTTAACTACACTGTTACTTCTGACCTGATTTTTAACAGGTTGTATCTTGTCTGTATGTGTGTGTGCTCCTTTTAGATGTACACAAAAACCTGTTGAAGTGGAACACATTCTACCTAGGCTTTCTGTTCCTCCTTTCCTGAATGTCTGAAATGTCTGCAAACTGACTACACTTCCTGCTTTGTTAGACAGAACCATAAGTGATTATCAGGGATCCTGCTTTTCTCTGATTTAAAAAAATCCCCAATTTTGGTTTAAAGAAAGTAACCCAAAATCAATATTTTCTGTGATTAAACTGAAACAGCACTAGTAGACAGATATATATAGATATAGATGTATAGATCTATAGATCTATATATCTATCTATATATCTTCATTTTAATCTTGGAGAAATGTGTATTTTGGCTTATTTTTTTAAATCCGAAAACTGGGGATTTTCTTTTTAACAAAGAAAACCAGGATCCCTGGTTATTATGGGAAAGGAGTAATGAATATCAGTAACTACCTGAAGAGAGAGAGACGCAGAAAGAGAAGAGGCTCGTGTTCTTGGGTGGAGCTTACACTATTGTAGATGTCTCGTTTCTTTAAGAACCTTGGGAAATGGCACTTCTGCCAAAAATCAAACGCCTCAAGTATTGGTAGGCTGAAATATGCTTTCTTACTCTGCAGTTGGGAAGGAGGTGAGTTTTAAGAGGAGCAGAATGAAATAACCTTGGTTGAGTATCAGGACACCTACAGGATATGAATTTCTAGTTAAATTTGCAAATAAGTGCTGAACAATTGCTAATGTCTATGTCATGGTTGGGAACCTGTGGAACGTGTAGCTTCTGTATGAGACTTGTGGCAGACCAGTGAGGGGATAGGAAGCTCAGTGGCAGTTAGGGCAGGGGGTAGAAAATAGCAACAGATAGGACAAGGAGCACAGGCAAGGAAACAGAAAACAAAGCAACAGATCAGACAGGGAGCACAGGGAAGGGAGCAGAAAGCAGAGTAGCTTATTGGACAGAGGAAAGAGATTGAAGTTGCATTTGGGGAGGGCGTGGGTTAATTTGTGGCATGCTTGCTAAAAAACATTAGCCCTCACTGGTCTAGGTCCTATTAAAATAGTCTGGTTAAAATATTTTGACTAGTTAAAAGGATGCATTTCATTCTTGTATTGGTCATTTATTTAGTGCCATCGATGTGTTTGATACTGTCTACATAGTCTGCAGATAAAGTGGTACCAGAGTTCTCGCCCTCACGCTCACCCTCTCACATCTCAATAGGAAGCATGAAGAAGGTGGTTTTTCTCCATGCTTGAGCCTATCTGAGTCTAGAGTCACTACTACCAGAAATAAAAGGGAGAAAAACATTGTTTAGGTCTTGTAAGTCTCCATTTCCATATAGACCAGCAGCTAGAGACAAGAGTGAGGGAGCTAGAGTAGATACAAATACATGTAGATAGACACATTCAGAAATAGATCAACTCTGTGCTTTTCTATAAAGTGTAAGGCGGTCTACTTTGGCATGCCCTGAGCCTCTAGTAAGACATTCTACTATTGCCTGCTTTATGCACTCTGCACTCCCATGTATTGGTCCCTAATTCATATCTCCAACACAAATGAGCAAATTTAAGGTTTAATTCTGAGTCTGTTGCAAAGGGCGCCACTGTTAGTTGTCCCCAGGGAACCAAATGTCCACACTATGTGTGGACGTGGCATATGTGTTTCTCTTATCATTGGAAATTAACTACTGCAACTTTTGGGAGATCCAAAATAACCAAGGACCTATAGATTCCTGAGGCATGTTACTTGAAGACTCTTACTGTTTTATAGAACCTGTGCAATATGTTGTTCAAATTATTCTCTAAATATATTCGGCTCTAGTTGTTTTCCCTGGTTTGTTTTATGTTTAGTGATGGAATGTTTGCACATTAGATGCTTGGCGTGATTTACATCTTAATAGCTCTGGTAGTTCAGTTTTGTGTACATGAGAGAGAACTTTATGACATTCAGATAGTTCAAAATGAGAAAAGTCCTTTGTTTAAAAAGCACAGTGTTACATGTTTATATATGCAAACAGGAGAGAGAGATACTAAAATATGTGCATACATTATAAACACACATTTACTCACATCTTCTATGTATGTATACACAGCTATTAATTCCATGTGTTCATGGCAAATTATTTTACTTGTGAAATTATTTTTGAATAATGCCTTTGATTGGACAATGGCAATTAATATCCTATGGTAGATTAGTTACACTATATATGCAGATACCAATTCCCATTCACCATGAACCAGAGCTATACCTAGTGCAGTTAACTGCTCAAGCCACAGTCCCATAAAATCTCAATAAAATCTGAAAACTGTGGAGTATGGGTAATCTTGCTATAAATTGTAATAAAAAATACCCCTGTAGACTCTATATTCTGACCATTAAGTTCACGGATACTGCTGCTTTGTACATAAAATTTTATGAAATAAATCGACCAATTCTGCTGCCCTTACCAGACAGCAAGCTGTTTTGATTTAAAATCTGATTGGTGTTCTTGGAGCATTTTCTAAAGCATAAACTGCTGATAATGAACTTTAAATAAAAAGAAAAATGCCTTAAATGTGCTCCCCATAGTAAGTACCTACTTATGAAGGAAAAAAAAATGTATGATATCTTTCCACAATTAAGTACATTTGCTGTGTCTGTAAAGCAAGGCTTTGGTTTCCCAACACAGCTGTCCAAAAAATATTAAGTAAATCTGAGCACAATATCTAATCTCAAAGGGCTTCATTTGAGATGCTTCAGGTGCTTCTGTATCTGGATGTGTTGCTTCTACTGTTTGAAATATGTAGCAAAATATATGACATTCTCCTTCAGTATTTCCCTGCCTAGGGATGCTGGTTTCCTAGTCACTGTAAACCTGTCAAGAATAGGGATATTCAGAAGTGGTTTGTACCAGATGGCTAGCTGTGGAATATTTTTGCCTCATGTGGCCAGAGATCTAATCACAAATAGTAGATATTGATAGTCACATACTTTTATTTTAATGGCTCCATTCATACTTGTGGGTATACTCCTTTCTGCTAAGATAAGGGGTTGCAGCAATGCATACGTGCTTGCTGTTGGCAGGTGTTCTGCAGTACTCCATGACTTACAGCACCCACTTCTATAAGGATTGTGTCCCCCAGCAGAAGGAGGGTTCACTGAGTTGTGTAGATGAACATTTAGTGTCTCTCTTGGCCATCTCTGACCTCTATGCCTTTGAGAGGCATAACTTCAAAGGGAATGCACAATATAGACGTCATTTTGGCAGTAGACTCCAAGTTATGGTATGAAACAAAATTTATGAGTTAACCTATTTCTGAGGCTTAACTAAGAGGACAGGAATCTGCAAAAGTCCTTCTGCTTAGTATTTGGCCTGGTTGGAT